TTTGGTGGCCTCCTGGTGCCTATCTGTAGCAACATTTCCCCTTAACACAATTCCTGCCTCTAAATACTTGCAAGGCTCTTCCTGCCTTTCTGTATTTAGCGGTGCATGATGGATTCCTTTCTGTGGATTTGTTCAGTTTTGTTCCTAAACCACACAGCACCTGCAGTGGGCCATGGCAGGAGGGCTGCTCTGCACTGAGTCACCTCCTCATGTTTACCCCAAATCTACCAGTCTCTCTCTAACCTCCCCCTGCCACGCAGATCTCTGTCCTGTGACCCCAGTTGTTTCTTTTCCATGCCAAAGAGCTCTGATCCATCATGCACACCATGTGCAGAAGCCTTTGACCATCCTGTCTTCCTTCTCTGCTCATTTTCTGGATCTGCTGCTGCTCATTTTCTGGATCTGCTGTATTCTTGGGTTATGGGGCCCAGGACCACACACAGGCCAGGACTGACCTGGGAACAGTGGCACCCCTGCTGTTGCCTCTACCTTTTCCTACCCCCTCCTATCAGTTTTTAGAGAAAACCTTTGCAGGTTTGACCTTTGCTGAGTGCCAAGGAGATGTTTCCACGGACTGTCAGAGCTCCCAGTCTCAGCGCCCATCACTTTAAACATGAGGCAGGGTTTGGCTTTGCATATGTGTCACTTCCCTGACACCGGCTGTTGTTTCAGATCCTGAAAGGCCTGAAACATATAGTGTTCATCCAAAGAATCTAGAATAATTCAGTATTATTATCAGATTTTGTCACTTCTCTACTGACCTCATTCATCAAAGGATCTGCTTGGGGTAACGCAGGTGACCTCTCTCAGCTGGAATTCACTTCAAGAGAACTGTGTCACCTCTTCTCCAGTATGTCATATTTATCGATCTATCCTCTAACAATGCCAGTTTCCTACACCTTATGCCAATTTTTGTTCCTTTGCAGAGAACAGATGTGTCATTTATCAGGCTGGGACTCCCTGTCTGCCTCCGGGGAAGCAGTTTTGGTGCCACAGTTGCCACTTTCCAGTCCTCGTGTCCCCTGGTGTAGCCAGACCTCGGGAGAGGTTGGGGTGTCCCCCAGCAATGGTGACATCCTCCCAGTCCCTGCTGTGCTTCATAACAGGACTTAAGCAGGGTGCTCACAAGGAGGGAAGGGCCCAGAGTCACCACAGATATTTCTACGCTCCCGGAAATGGCTTCTATTTGGAGCTGTGGAAGAAGTACCTGGCGATCGATGGGGCTGCAGGTTTACCTGAAAGCCATGGGAGATGCTGGTGTCAGCATCTCCCGTGCTTGCAGCCAACCCAGTGCCTGACTCAAGTGACACATTGGCAAGTGTCAAATGCTAAATTCAGCCCCAACATCATTTGCAGGTGAATCATCTTTCAGCGCCTCCTCAAGAGCATGCAGGAGCAGAGACCTTCTCCTCTGAGTCACAAAAACCTGCTGCCTGGGGGATGCTAGGCTGTGTCCACACCACCCAGGGTTAAACTGGAGAGGAAGGTTTACCAAGACAACGTAGCCCGAGCCCTCCTAGGCCCAGGGAAGGACCTGTGTCCTGTTCTTGGCATGGCTGCCAAACAGGTCTCCTGTCCCCAGCTGTGGGTGAGCACAAGAAGCACTTGGGGTAGCTGAAGCAGGTCCTCACACCCAGAAGGACAGTGAGGTCCAAGGATGCACACAGCTCTCCACAGGGATGGCAGGAGCCCGGAAGACATTGCCTTGCTTTTTCTTCCTGGTGCGTGCTCCAACCTGCCTGGGAAGTGTTTAGCCAGGAGAGCTATTAGACAGCTATTGCTGTGTTTGCTAAGAGGAAGGGCCTTGCTGTGAGCTCCAGCCCAGAGACAATAGAGAAGAGCTCCTGGACCCTTTAGAGATGGAGAAGAGGGTGGAGGGAGAGCTCCTGGTGCAGAGGTCCATCCCCTGGTCCACGCAGGTCACTGCAGAAGGCTTCCTGTATCCCCTGTTCCTGCCGTCCCTAAGAGTGAGCCAAAAATCACTTCTGTGCAGCCATGGGTTGCTCTCCTGACTGAGGACTGTGTGCACAAGGGCTGCACCACCACTGTTCTCCCCCAGCGGCTTGTGGGCCACGGGCAGTGTGAGCAGCAGGCAGCCCTCAGGGCTGAGCATTGGCTGGGTGAGAAAGCAGCCGGAATGTGGAGTCTGGCATGCAATAGGCGCAGTGTGTGCTCCCTAATCCTCTCCCATCTGCCAGTCCTGCCCCGTGGCCCCTGCCAGGTCCTACACGAGCAATGCTGTGTGACAGCCATCTGTCACAGCCATCCAGTGGGTCTGCAGGTGGAGTAGCATTGCAGCCACAGTTGCAGTAGGGGGGTCAATCTCTGCATTGCAGGCATCAACCTGGGTCCCAAATTGCATCATATACAAGCAATTGGGGACTGGAGCGACACCAACTGCAGCATGAGACACAGATGGAACTTGGTTTCAGTGGTGTGAATACAGAAATCTGTCGGTGCTTCTTCAAACCTGAAATGAGCTGCTGTGAATGGAGGGATGTCACTAGTGTCTCATCACGACTGCAGACAAGCAGCACATGCCTGTACTGAGCCACACAGGGTGTAAGGAGCTCATCTGGTTTCCTTCTGGACTTCCCTTTAAAGCTGCCAGAGCACAAAGAAAAATCTACCCCAGCTGTGTTCTTTTCATCCTGCTGCCCCATGTTGCTGTGTGGCTGGTTCAGCCCAGGGGAAACCCATACCCAGGGGAAGCTCAAACCTGAGGGCTCAGGTGGGTCCAAGGATCTTATTAATGCTCCTCCAGGCTCTGCTGGAGCCTCAGGTAAGAAAGGGATGTTCCACGGGGTACAGATCAGAGAACAGGGCTGTGTTAGGCCAGGTGGCCACCTGCCAAAAAGGAATTTAGAAGAGAAACAGGCCCAGCAAACGGTGAGGAGGTGCTGGGGTCCTAGGTGGGCTCAGACCACAGACCTCCCAGCATGGCCCTGGTGCAGCTGCCTCCCCAAGGAGGCATCAGAGCAGTAGGAGAATGTGAGAGGATGGGGTGGGAAGGCAGCCCCTCTGCAATTCCTCTTGCATGGTAGTATTCCTTTTTTAAAAACCACCAGCACAGGCAGGTCCCTCCTGGGTCAGCTCTCAGGAGATGCTGAGAGTGTGTTTTCCAGGCCTGAGGATTTAACAAGAGCCATCTCCAACAGATGTTGCTGAACATCCTCCTTGGTTACTGACAGAGGGTGGAAGTGCTCTCAATCTCATGTGCCATTAGCCTTGCATCCTGCTTCCTTCCAAATGCCACACAGATTTATTGGGAAGCTCTGTCTTTTCTGCATTTTAATAACAATCTCATCATCCCCCTCTGCTGGGATTGAGGTCTGCTTTTAGATCTCAAACACTGCCTTGTATTCACTCTGTTCCTGGCAGACACTTTCTCTCCTGATGCATTTTGAGTCTTGCATTTCTTACGCTCTGAAATTTCCAGTTTTGGTTTCTTGGGGCCATGGCTGTCTTCTCCCTAGGAGGAAGCTCCCTTGACATTTGGTTGGACCTGGGAGATCTGGCTGGGTCCAGTGTGCACATAATAAATCCACACATCTGGAACTCAGTGAGCTCACTTGGCACGTGTTTGGCAGATGCCATGCCAGGCTGGTGCAGGAGGCTCAGATCCTCAGCAGCCCCATCCCAGCTCTTCTCCTGCACAGGGGCTGGAAGGAAGGGTGGTCACCATGGGAAGTTCTCTCTCCAGGCATCCCCTCCTCCCTGTGGCAGGCACCCCAACAGCCACATCCCGACATCTGTTTCCACAGTGGGGCAGGAGTCTGGCTCATGGTGTGAAGACAGGCAGGACCACACTGTGACATCTCTCCCCCCCTTCCTGGATACCTCTTCCTGGCTTCACCTCTGTGGTGGTCCTGCTTTCCGAGAATCCTGCCTCTGGCCCTGTCCCTTTCAGGTACGGCTGACCATGACCTTTGGGGGATTTGGCCTGTGCACAGTGCTGGGATCAGGTCTGGTGAATGGTGTGCACCCAGGAAGCAGTGTGGAGAATTCAGGGGCATAGGTCTAGAGCCAGGGCAGTGCACAGTGCCTGCTGGGGGTTAGGAGGACACAAGGAAACAGCTGGTCCTGGGTAGTGGGCACTGGTGGTGGCAGCTAGTGACAGGGTTACAGTCAGAACATTTGTAAGCGTGCTGTTTTCCCTATGATAGCCCTGGCCTCCGCTGCCATGCTCTGACATACTGCTTCCAATGCTACTTCCCTGGTCAGCATGATTATCACCACTGTCCCCTTATCAGCAAACCCAGCCCTGTCAGGGCTGTACCCCCGGTAATGTCCTCTGGCTCCTGTGCTGGCCCCGCATGTGCTGGGCCCCAGCCCTGCAGGCTTGCCCTGACGGCCCTGCGCACGCAGCCGTGGCTCAGCCTTCTTCCCAAGCACCTTCCCCTGCTTGTCCCTGCTCGATCCGGCCCCGCGCTGTTTTCGAGGAGGTCCGTGGTGCCAGCCTGGTGTTTTGGTGACTCTCTGGGATCGTCTGCTCCGCGGGTCCCGCACGGGGCTGGTTTCATGCACGCCTCCGAGGCAGTGGGTTTGCCATCGAGGGACCCCGTACTGCTCCGGCTCGTTAGCAGCATCCCCGGTGTCCCTCCTCCCGGTGTCTCTGCAGGCACCTTTCCTGCTCTCCCAGCGCCGAGCCATGCTCTGGAGGGGGCTGGCGGCGGCGGCATCACCCACGGCCGGGTCAGGCCCGTGGGCTCCGGTCTCCGCAGCAAGAGGGACGGGGGCCCGTGGGGGCCGGGTTCTCCCTCGGGGCCGGGGCGGGACGCGGAACCCCTGGGCCCAAGCCGAGCGCTAGCGACCTCCTGGGGAGCGCGGGTGGTCGGCCCAGAGCGCCCGGGAAGGCCGGGCCAGGCGAGGCGGTAGGCGGCCCTGGCGGCGGGGGTGCGGGGCGGGCCCCAAGGGAGGCGGGCCGCGCCGTTCCGGGCCAGGCAGCGGGGAGGCCGTGCCGGGCCGTGGGGAGCGGGTCCGGGGCAGCGGGGCAGACGCAGGGGGAGGGGGGAGCCCCGCTCGGAGCAGCCGGCGCGGCGGCTCCGGCAGGTGGCACTGGCCGCCTCCCCCAGCCGCCTCCCCCGCTCCCCCCCCGGCCCGGGCTCCGCCGCCGCCTCGCTCAGTCCGGTAGCGCCGATGCTGCTGAGCGGAGCTGCGGCCGGCTCCGAGCGAGGCGGCGGCGCGGGGGCCGGGGCCGGAGGGGCCCCGCAGTGTGTGGGCACCATGGCCCGCTGGCTCCGCGAGCACCTGGGCTTCCGCAGCGCCAAGCCCGCGCCCCCCGCGCCGCCCAAGCCCGACTACCGCGCCGGGCCGCCGCCGCAGCCGCCCCCGCCGCCCGGGGGCGACGCCGAGCCGTTGGCCGCCGCCCAGCCCGACATCGTGGCGGCCTACCGGCTGCAGAAGGAGCGCGACTTCGAGGACCCCTACAGCGGGCCGCCTCCGCCGGCCGCCCCCGACGGGCCCCGGTACGTTTCGCCCAAGCACCGGCTCATCAAGGTGGAGCCGGTGGAGAAGGTGCCCGCCAGCCCCCCGCCTCCGCCACTGACATCCGCCGCCCCCAGCTCGCCGCCAGCAGGCCCTGAGCTGCCCGACGAGCCACCGCAGGAGGTGAGTGTCCCGGCACGGGCACCCCGCCGCGCTCCCTGGGGTGTCCCAGCCCCATGGGTGGGGGATGCTCCGGTTCACCCCGCCGGATCCTCAGCACCCGCTGCGAGGAGCAGGGCCAAAGACCCCTGGGGCAGGTGGAGTCCGAGGGCCGGGAGCCTGCGGCGGCAGGAGCCACGGCCGAGCTCCGCGTCCTCCCTTTGAGTCCGGCAGCACCGACATGCTGCCCACACGTCAGCACCGCGGCGCTGCCGGGCGACCCCGGCTTCTCCTCCGGCTCCCGCGGGAGGCAGATGCGGTCCTCAGCAGGAAGTGTCGCCCACTGAGGTGCGGGAGCGCGGGGCCTGCCGGCCACCTTCCCCTTTCCCGTCTCGCCGTTTCCTTGCAGCCGAGTGCTGAGCACTCTGCAGAGGTGAAACCTCCAGCCGGGGAAGGCGCCCCTCATCACAGGACTCTCTCCAGCGGCCCCCGACGCTGGGGCCGGTGTCCCTGGGCCTCCTTCCACTCTGTGCCCAGCGGCGCGGAGCTCCCGCTGCCCGCTTACGAGGGCCTGCCCATGCCCAAGGCCGGCTCCCCCGAGCTGCCGTGCTGCTTTGTCAGGGAGCCTCAGCGCCTCTTTGTCTGCCCCTTCCCAGCCGGCTTCTCGAGGGGAGAAAGCGGAGCCTGGCTCTGCCAGTGTTGAAAAGGACGGGAGAAACGTCCCCAGCGGGAGGCAGGAGCCGGGGAGAAGCTCCCTGTAGGGAGATAGGCTCTGAGCTGCACAAGGACCCGGCTGCGGCCGTCGGTGTCCGGCCTCTTGGCAGAGAGGTTGGTGCGGGTACTGCACAGATAAAGGCAGGAGCCCGTTGGCGCTGCCGCCTGCAAGATGGGGCTTGTCGAGTGAACTCGACGGGATTGCAGATCCGGCTGGTGGAGGGAACGGTGGGTACAGCCATCCCCTCCGTGGTCCTGTGTTGCCGAGCGGCATGGTGAAACGAGCACCGAGCAAACTGCTCGGGAGTATTTTAAGCAGGTAGAAAAACTTGTTGCTGGTGGATCTTGGAAAGTTGCTAATACTGACCAGTTGCTTTTAGGAGGTTTCTGGAGGGGCCTGGCAGAAACCTCCTTTTGAGCCAGGATCCTGTAAAGTGGCCGCTGCGGGCAGCAGAGGAGGAGGGCACTGGCAGCTGTGACCGGAGGTGCCATTGTGGTGGTGTGTGGTTTGCTGCATGGTTTGTCCTCTGGAACACATGGTGTGGGATCAGAGGGACCAGGAGCAGGTGGTGGTCATAGGAAGAACTCGGACTGTGATAGGCAAAGGGGTGAGCAGGAGCTGCAAGGGAGTGGGTACTGCAATGGTACCGCCAGGCTGTGCTGGTGTCTGGGGGCTGGGAAGAAGCTGGAAATTTTAGAGAAAAGCCAAAAGCTGGGATACTTTTGAGGAAATCCCACTAACAGCACTAGGCCGAAGAAGACCCTCATGTTATCCAAGGTACGTGGTGATTAATCTCCTGATCTGCGTGTCTCCGTGGAGAGGAGGTTCTAATTCTTCAGGACTTCAGTACGTGATGGACACTGGCAGAGCTATGGAGGCTGTGTGAAGCTGGACATAAGGTGGGAATATTTGATAATGCATGGAACTGTCCATTAGAACAGTTTTCCTGGAGGAGCTGTGGAGGTTCCACAATGAGGAGCATCACTGTTGGGCTTGAGCACCCTTTGCAGCTTCTGTCTGCTGGCCTTGACATTGGGCTGAGCAGTGGGAGGGTTCTCCAGTTGTTGCAGGGTTGCGGTGATTATCTCTGGAGGTGGTCCAGGAGGATGGAAGTGCCTGCTGGGGGGTTACTGATGCTTGTGGCCCTTGCTCTTGGAGACAACATCAAGTTATCCTAGAGCAGGGAAGGCAGGGTGGCCTGAAGCCTCTGCTGAGCTCTTTAAGCCAAGATGGTGGTTGTGGCAGGGGCCTCTGTGCTCCCATTCTTAGGAAGAGGTGATGGGCACTGTGCCCCATGTGTTGTGGGGACTGGGACTCCGAAAAGCCCTCAGGTGTAAGCCTTGAGCTGTGGTGATGCTGAAGGTGAAGGGAGAAGTACACTTTTAGGTAGAGGCAAGACTGCTGGAGCAGAGAGGATTTTTGCTAATGATTGACAGTGAAAATCAGCCTAATAAATTGTGCAGCCCTTCCAGGGAGGGAGACTGAAGATGAGCAGAAGTGGAAGGAGCAGCTATCAGTTCCTGGTTGTGTGGTTTGACCGAGGCTCTGTAGTTTGTGGTATGGGCTCTGTGCTGAGTTTGGGGGACTGACCATGTTCCCTAGAAGCCCTGTGTTCACTGTAGCTGTCCTGCCCTTTCTGGAGCATTGGAGACAGGGCAGGAACATCTTGGCAATGGCACCCTTCCTGCCTGGGCCATGCAATACTTTGCCTTCATAGCATGAGTCACATCTTTCTGACTTGTGTGGAATCTCCAACATCTTGTGGGGATGCGCTTAGAATGAGCTCTGCAGTGGCTTCTGCTCCATTAGAAATGCTTGCTGGACGTGCTGGGGACCAGCACAGGCCTTTCTCCATCTGCTTGGTCTGGGCAGTGCTTTCCCTGTAGCAGTGGACAACAGGTTGGCCCTGTATGGCTCGAGGATACCCTGGAGATGTCTTCTCTGCTGTGTTTGGATTGAGTGCAAGGAGCAGTGCCACCAGGATGCAGTGGGGAAAGGTGTGATGAGGGACCTCCCTGCATTGGGAACACCTGCACCCATGGCATGCAGCGTGCTTAGGGACTGGGTTGGGGATCTGTCTTGGGACACGGGGACATCTTTGTCTTGTGCCCACTGTACCTGTCACTGGTGTTTTTGCCGGGTGCGCAGGGTCGGTGCCGTGGGGTGTGGGAAGGGCTGGCCAGGAAGCTCCTGGGCGTGTGTCCTTCCTGCAAGAGCCTCCCTGAACTGAGTCATCCTGTGCGATGTGGTGCTGTCCACCCCGTGCTCCTCCTCCCATGCCATGGGTGCAGCCCTGGGCTCCCTGCCTGCCCCAGTGAGCTGCAGACCAGACCTGTTTTGGAAGGCCAGCACTATGTTTGCTTTTGGGTTTGGCTTCGGCATCCGCTGAAAGCCAAGGTGCAAGATACATGAAACTGGGAGATTTTGCACCTGACAGAGCGAATGAACTGAGTTCATATATAAGTTAGAGCAGCTCCAGCATTAAACAGAGCAATCTCCTGGGGACCCCAAACATGCTTTATCTCCAGGGCAAGATGGGGTGAAGAGCTCCAGCTCTGCTGTGGCATCTTGGAGAGCCACTGTGTCACATTCTGTGACGGGCAGCATAAAAACCTGGTGATGATGTGGTCCTTCACCTTAATGGTCTTTTGATTTCCTTTTTTTTTCTTACTGTTGGCATAAATAGTAGAGCGAGGCCAGCCTCAGCACAGCACCAGGGATCTGGGAGTGCATTGCCACAGCTGATAAATGCATGAAAAACTCCTGCGTGCAAGGAGGACATGTGTCCGAGTGCCAGATGTGCCTGGCTGCTCTCTGAAGGACTAGTCTACACTAAGAGCTACCCTGGTATTGTGGTTTTACATGTCAGGCCTTTGCTTTGCACCTAAATAGTTTCAAATCTAATAGAGCTTGTGCTGTGTAGGAGCAGGCAATGCATCGGTACCTAAGCATCTGCATGATGCACTGTGATAAGCTGGGTGGTGAGTGGCTTCCTCTGTGATATGGGAGGTGAGTGAAGCATGGAAATGCCTGGCCTTTAAAAAAAGCAGGGGGTGTCTGGGGCACCCCACTGAGCTGTTTTGCCAGCAGTCATGGCGCCTGCACTGGGGCAGCTCTCTGTGCACCGTGGCTGCAGCAGAGAGCTTTGCGTGGCTTGTGAAGTCCAGTGCTCAGATTAGGAAATGTCAGAGGTGTAGTTTCCTGGCAACTTTAGTTTGGTCCCACATGCAAGGGCATTAGGATGCAGTCGGTAATTGCGTGATCCCTGCCATTCGCCTCCTAAGAGCCCTCACCCATTCCCAGCACTAGCTGCAGCCTCCAGCCTCAGAGCCTGGGATTCTGTTCTCACTTGCTTGATTATGCATCCTGAGGATGCAGTTGCTCCTGCAGACAGTCAGGAGTTGCCTTCCTGCCTTTTCCATGGCTCTCCACAGTAACATCTGACCATTTAAAAACTGAATGGGTTTACATTCTTAGCAGCCTACAGTGGGGAGACTTTGCTCCTACGAAAAGTCATCCTTGAGATAGTGGAGGAGTTTGCCAGTGTGGCAAAACCCAACCAAACCTGGGGGGCTCAGAGACTCATATCCTTGATCTGAGCCATTTGCTTTGGGTCTGAGCTAAACCCAGCAAACATTGTGTTGGCTGTGTAGAGCCTAATTGCTGCATGCCTCTTTGTCCCCCAGCAAGTGAAATACCCAATTTTAGGGGTCTCAGCAGAGATGTGTTAGAATTCTCCACCATCCTTTGCTTTCTAGACCTGGAGGCATCTGAGTGGGGACCACTCTGGGCTTGCTGGAGCTGTCTCCCCCTTCCTGGAAGCAAGACCAAAGCACTGAGGAAAGGGCTTTCCTCTGGTTGGGGAGGATGTCAGCCGTGGGCAGAGGAGTCTTTCAGCTTCTGAGCTGCTTTGCTGGTGCCCTGTCTTGTCTGAAGCTGCTGTCTATTTATGGGGAGGGAGAGGGAGGGTCCAGGACTGGTGCCAGCAGCAAGTCAGGTCTATGTCTCTAGCAAAATGCATGTAGGAAATGTTTGTGGCAGGTTTGAATGTGGGAGGTTGGGCTTGGGGTGGGAGGAATGAGCAGGCAATCCTTTTCTGAGTCCTGGAGGGTCAGCAAACTGTGTTTTAAAGCTCCACATCATGCTTGGAGCCACAAGAGTTCTTTGCAGAGGGTATGCATCGGTGCTGCCTCACAGGTGCTTGCATGTTAAGCCCGTGTGTGTGTGTGTTGGGACGCCTGCCCGCATGCTCCTGCCTCCCTTGGCACCAGTATGTATGTGAATAAGTGTGCAGGGGATTGTGCTCCGTGGATGTCATTGGGGTGGAGCAAAAGCCTTTTTGCAGCTTTCCAAGGCGTGGGTGCCCACTGGACCTCCAGGCTGTTTGGAACAGCAGGCACTGATCTGCCCTTTGCATCTTGCAGGCAGCGAATGGGAAGTACCCGTCTTGCAGGCAGGAGAGGAAAAGGGTGTTGAGAAAGCAGAGGGGCTTCCTGCAGTGAATTTGCTGTTGCTGTTACTCATCTTTCCTCTCTATGAGCATTATGTCCCAGTGACCAAGCGTTTGTAAAAGTCACCAGTGACTTAGATTTCCCTTGGGGGGTTTCTCCCCAGTGGTGGCAGGCAAAGGGCTGCAGCTCCCCTGGGCTCAGCGTTGTCACTTGGTGGCCCCAGTGCCTGGCAGAGCCTGAGCGGTGCCACATCTCCCTCAGATGATGGAGCAGGTTTCCTGTCTCCTGCTACAAAGCCAGGGACTTGCTGCTCCTGCAGCCCTGTCCTGGACCTTTCTTGCAGAGCCAGTGGGAGGTTTTGCTCTTTTCGTCTCATCCGGAGAAGGTTGGTACCCCAAGCAGCATCTGTCCCCTTGTGAGGGGTGAGAGCATCTGCTTGCTCCCATGCTTGACCCCCCCCCCATGTACTCGCCCTTGCTGGCAGGCTTTGCTCTGGGGATGATGCTCTGCTGCTCGGTTGTGCTCCAGCATGGAGGAACTGGCCTTGGAGAGCTATCCCGGCTTCCCACTGCATTTGCCAGCCCAGAACGGGAGCACTTACGGAGGCAGTGGTGAGCTGGATTGGGGGGAACCATGTTCCACAGCTCAGAAGGATGTGAAGGCTGTGTGGAGGTGTTTACAGCTCCAGTTCCTGTTCCCTTTTCCTGCTGGCTTTTGCTTCTTGAGGCCATTGTAGGCCATTTTGCACAGGAAGGAGGAAGAAGTGTTTTGTTTTAAGCTGCTTGTGGGAGCTGGATAGGAATGTGTGAGTGGCTCTGGTCTCCAAGGCTGGCCAGGAGCGGGGGCAGCATGGTGGTGAGGACAGGCACTAGGTAGGATTAAGCAGCTGCCACACCGTGCTTGGGCCATTTGGTTCTTTCTGTGGGAGCTCTGCATAGCTGGTGTTGCGGTGGCAAAACCTATCTTGCCAGATGGTCCAGTCTGGGAATTGCAGCCTGGTGGGGGAGCAGACCAAATAAAGGTGCTTGGGTACACTAGGACCCTGCTGGAAACATTGCCTGGCCCTATTTTGGGACCAGGCTTTGGGGCTGGAGGTGGGATGTAGAGCCCCAGGCTTTCCAGGGGCTGCAGTGTTGTGTGATGGAGTGCTCCAGGCTGGGAAGCTGCTGAGATGCCGGAGCAGATGTGTGGCTCCATTGCTGGAGAGGATCAAGCGCTGGGACATGCCTCATATCCTACTTCAGGATCGCCTCCTTTTTGTTAGCAAGAGCAAACCTCAGGCATTTTGTGCCATTCTTTGATGTGGCACTTGAGAGGCTCCTGGTCCTGCTTCCTGGTGACTCCAAAAGGAGCCCTGTCTTACGCTACTTGGGACATGTATGGGGATGCTGTGGGGGCCTTGGAGGGAGCAGAGAAGATGCCATAGGCTGTTCTTAGGTCTTTTGTTAAGAAATATCTTCAAATGAGCTTGGAGGAGCCCTGGAAAATAACCAGTGAGTTCCCAGTTGTGTCAGTGCCGGTTGACACCCCTGTCCTGGGATCTGAGCCCCTTCTCTGCCTAGGGCAAGGAAAGGTGGCTGCACACAAAGAGAGTATCTGTACAGCGTGGTGGGGGTGGCACTGCCGGCAGGCACGTGCCACGGTGGGGGCCTGGCTGGGGCATCTGCATGGCGCTGGCTGTGCTGAGCTGATGGTAAGGGAGAAGGCCGGGCTGCCTTCTGCTCTGCTTGGCTCCATTCCAGCTTTCAGGACAAAGGCTGGAGCATTTCCACAGCTGAGTGCCAGTGCCTGGAGAGCCACCGGCTGCCAGCACCTGCTCTGCGGGGTGCCATGGTGCTGCTGCTCTGGCTGCTGCTAGCAGAGCTCATGGGGAGGTTTTAAGGGGCTTCAGCCGGTCCCTGATTGTCCCCAGAAAAGGCAGGGAGGACCCTAACCCTTCCACCTTCCCTCTTTCAGCTGGCTGTCCTGGAGGACTACGCAGATCCCTTTGATGCGGCGCAGGTGGCAGGTAGCCAGGCAGGGCTGGAGAAGGTGATAGAGAATGATGGATACATGGAGCCATATGAAGCGCAGAAGATGATGGCTGGTAAGGTGGAAGGCTCTGTCCAAAGGCAACTCTTTGCACCCCTGGTCGCTTCCATGTCAATTTGCTTGCCGCCCTACTCTCTTCCTTGGCAGCCTGTGACAGCACTGTGATCCCCAGGCAAAGCAAACCTGGACAGTTGCTGTGGTGTGGTGCATGGCCGCATTGTAGGCAGATTTTCTCAGCTTTAGCCATGTGTGATGAGCTTGCCATAGCCAGAGGCCACTGACGAGGGTTATCCAGCAATGAAAGTACTTCAGTATTTATCCCTTCAATTTTGCCCCCCAGGACCACGGTGCCTGCCTGCCAGGCTGAGCCAGGAGAGACCTGACATTTGATGCATCAGGCATAAAACTAAGATGGATGTGGAGCTATTTAATTCAGTTTGGACTGGGCCAGACCATGCCATTGTGCGCCATGGCCTTGGCCACAGCTTGTTTATTGCGGGTGAGGGGCAAGCATGTGCTCCTGAAGGCATCCCTCTTACTCCTGCAGGGTCACTGTACTGCTTGCATGCTCCAGGCTCTGGCTTTGTTTTGCAGCTCCATGATTTTCCTGGAGTGAGTGGTTTCTGGAAAGCTCATATGGCTTTTTGGACCAGACCATTGCATTTCTTGGAAAAAATCAGCCAGTGGTGAAGGGATTGCTTGTGGGAAACTTTTGTTTGAGGGAAGAACATTTTATTAAACTAACCATGCTGGGTGTTCAGGGAAGAAACCTGGCCTTGCTGCTCACAGGGAATTGGGCTTTGGGGTGCTCTGTCCCCGTGGACCCTACTTTGAGGGGCTGCCCAACAGTGGGTATGTTGTACTGTGGGAGAAGAGGCATCTTGCTGCTGTGGACTGCTCAGGACCCAGCTGCCCAGCAGCTCCCCTATTTCTGGTGGGCACATGCTGGAGGTTTGGGCAGTCTCTATCACTGATGCTCCCTACCCCACATTGCCCTCAGGTGAAACTGAGCCCTTTAATCCAGCAGGTCTCCAGGGACCATGCCCCGTGTGTGCTGGGCAAAAAGCTCATGGTCTTCTCACTCCTCTCTTCTTAGAGATCCGCCAGAAAGGCTTACGGGAGGCTCCTGCCCGGCCACTGCACCTCTACGACACTCCCTATGAGCCTGTACTTGGAGGGCTGGACATGGATGGTGACCGCCCAGGTTGCCCCAGGCCCAGGGAGTCCCGGCTGCCAGAGGATGATGAGCGGCCACCAGAGGAGTATGACCAGCCCTGGGAGTGGAAGAAGGAGCGGATCTCCAAAGCCTTTGCAGGTGAGATGGGAGATGAGAGATGGCAGTAGCTGTAAAGCAGCTGATGCTGCGTTGCATTTTGCAGTGGGGGGAAGCTGGCTCCTTGATATTCCTTTTTGGGGGATTCAGTAGTGTTGAGTTTTGTATTTCTGTGGTTCAGGGAGCAGTCATGAACCTGGAAAGGCTGTTTCTTTTCAGCTGGGAGCCAGGCTGGGTGGAGTGGTGGATGGAGCTGCCTGGCAGACTGTCCAGTGCCCATCTCTTGTTTCCCCTTCCCTCTGCTGGCTGATCACAGCCTCTGGTGCAAATTAACCCCACCCGAGCTTTGAATTGCAGAGGAGTGGTTTGACCCTGGGCTCAAGCAAATCCTTCCTTCACTGGGGCAGGAGGATCTTCCTGGAGCCTTTGGCCAGGTGATTGTCCAGGCCCCTGACCTATTCATCTGTGCTGCAGGATCGATGGTGTTTGTGTTTGTTAATGAGGAAATCCATGCTGGGTATTAGCACTGGCTCCTCTGCGGTGCTGGCTAATTGCCACACTCTTATCTAGGATGCATTTTAATTGTGGCATTGTATGCTTAAATTGCAGCTGGCATGCACAAGGTGCTCAAGCCAGCAGCATTGTGCAGAGATGCTGGCAGACAGAGACGTGGAGTCTTGGGACTCTTTCATCTCTTGGGTTTGGGCTCTGTGAGTGTTTGCTGTCTCTACGCCATGGCATCTACTCATGCTGTGGGATTGCACTCAGTGGGTACAGGGTCGGTGACTGTGGCACGCTGTGCTGAGGATTCAGTTTATTGGGCTCCGTCATGAAACACAGTGTGCTGGTGTGTTAGGTTTGTGCTGAGGTGTTTGTGCTCCAGATCTGGGCAGATGAGCTGCCTTGCTCGATGTCCCTGTGTGTAGGTGGAGTGTTCACAGGTCTGGCTTGCACATGGATGCATGTGGGCACTCCCCAGGGTGCTTCAGGCTTGCTCCGAGTCCTGAGGGAGTCAGGCTGCTATGCCCTGGGCCACATTACAACCTGCTGCCTGTTTTCTTCTGGAGCCAGAGCAAGTCCTGCTGTGGCTTGCAGTGCATTTCTCCTCTCCTTCTGTGCCAGAATCTCTCTGCTGGCCCTCTTCCCCTTTGGGGGGCCTGCAAGACCCCTGTTGATGGGCAGCTAGTACCAACACAAGGAAGCAACCTACTGGTGCCTGGCAGGGGGATGTGGACCCCATGGGGTGGTTGTGAAGCACCTGGGGCAGGACAGATGCATGGGCAGGACAGATGGCAATGGAATGCTTGGTCAAGGTCCACTGGATGGATGTGTATGTGGGATGGGGGGGATTGCAGGCTGCCCCTGCTCCAGAGAAGTTTGGCTAGGAAATCTGATGGAGGAGCAAGGTCTCTCCTTGGGAGTGTGCCCCATGTTGGGCCTGTTCCTGCTCAGTGCTGTGGATGAGAAGGGGTGGCCAAGCTGGCATAGAGGTTCCAGGAATTTAGTCCATAGGTGTCACAGTTTAAGTCCAGCCAGTAACCCAGAACCATGCAGCCACTCGCTCACTCCCTCCCTTTCCCCCCCCCACCTCCCAGAGGGATTGAGAAGATAATCAAGAGAATGTAAGATAAGAACAGTCCAGTAGCTAAGGTATAACACAAAACCACTACTATTAATATGGGAAATAACAAAGGGGAGAATATAAAACTAAAAGAAGAAAAGGAAAAGAAAACAATAAACACAAGTGATGCCCAATGCAGTTGCTCACCACCTCCTGACTGATAACCAGCCTGACCTGAGCAGTGGTCTGGGCCTTCCAGATAACTTCCCCCCGTTTCTATACTGAGCATGACATGCTGTGGTATGGAATACCCCTTTGGCTAGTTTGGGCCAGATGTCCTATCTCTGCTTCCTCCCGGCTTCCTGTGCCCCTCCTCACTGGCAGAGCATGAGGCTGAAAAGTCCTTGATCGGACTAAACATCGCTTAGCAACAACTAAAAACATCAGTGTGTTATCAGCGTTGTTCTCAGGCTAAAGTCAAAAACACAGCACTGCACCAGCTACTAAGAAGGAGAAAAATGACTGCTACAGCTGAACCCAGGACAACAGGTCTTTCCCCTAGCAACTGCACTCCTTCTCCATGGGTCTGGTGTTGGTGATGGTTTTTTTTCTAAACTCTTTTCTTTCTCTCTTCTCCTGCTAATCCCCCTCTCCCCCCATCCAGTTGAAATCAAGGTCATTAAAGACCTGCCATGGCCACCGCCAGTGGGACAGCTCGACAGCAGTGAAAGCCCCGCGGACAGTGAGGCTGGTGCCTCTGTCCCTCCGCAGCATGGCCAGCCCGGCTACGAAGACGCCAATGGTGGGTCTTGGGTGACAGTGGGTTATCCAGGGGGACTGTCTGGTGCTCACCATGACCGAGGTGCTGCAACTCTTTTATCTTGCCCAGGCCTGGCAGATACTGCCAGACACCCACCTTTCTTCTCCGCCTTCCCCCGCTCCTCCTGCCCTGTTCAGTTGTCCTGTGCTGAATGCCAGACATTTGTCCTCGCCTCTTCTGCATCTTCTCTAGCTCCGTGATGCCTCTTTGCATGCAGTGGTCAGGCTGTACCAGGGCATTATTTGGTGGCAGAGTTACTACCTTCTCTTCTCCTTGTCTCCAAATTCCCAGTGTTTGATGGCTGCTTTTACAGTCTTTTTGACAACTGCTCTGAGCATTTAGCTGATGTTTTCTTGTGACTCTTAATATCCGCATCCCTTAAAGGTGTGGTAGCAGCTAATTCAGATCCAACCGCTGAAGTTGAGGTTGTTTTTTCCCCTTGAGCCTCACTTTGTCATTTACTTCTGCTCTGTTTCCTCCACTGTGTTATTACTTTGTTGCTCAGTGACAGAAGGTCCTTCCGGATTCTACACTCTCATTTTTCCTATCCTGAACAGCTGTATCTCCCAGGTATGCTCCGTCATCTCAGGTTTGCTTTGTTGTGAAGCCTTTTTTGTGTGTGCCAGTAGCAGAGCCGCCCATATATATCCTCCCTTGTATCCTGCTGGCAGCCTGGCCAAATATTGCTGCTTCTCTTTTAACCTCCTATTAAAATTTTAAGGACGTTGCTCTTACGCTGTGGTGAATGTGGATTAGGGTTTTGCCAAGAGCGTTAGGTGGGAGCTTTGTTGAAAACCACCCAGACTTTTGGGGTTGGGCTGCTGCTCTTGTGGTGGACCTGTGATACATGACTTTTCCTCTGCACCCCAGCATGCCATGTTTGCCTGAGTTTCACTAGCACTGCTCCTGGTGTAGACACTGTGACATGCCAGCTGCAGATGGCTGATTTCCTTATCTGCAGTTACCCAGGTTTCTGCATTGCTTCTGGAGAAAAAACAGTATGGCTTTTGGTGTCTCCCAGGTGGGTTTGAGCATGAGGTTGCACGTGACAGCTGATTTTGCTGCTGATCATAGTGAGACTTCAAGAGTGATGTGGCTGCTCTACTGTGGGGCTATGAGCCAAACCTGCAGTGATGCTACAAACAGATCAGTCCCAAAAGAGAGAGGTCTTGGCAGAGGGAAACTTCCTGATCTTCCTGCAGTGAATGCAGGTGTCAAGAAAAAATAATTTCTTTGCTCCTCAGCCTCTTCTCTTCCCCCATCATTTCTTATCCCTGCAGTCACTCTGACACACATCCTGCCCCTGATGAACGCATTAGTTTGACATTTTACCTGGTTTTAGCAACAGAGTATTTCCCTTTCCCCCCTCCCCTGCCCCGCCTTGCTTTGTTGTGTTATGTTTATCTTGTCAGAGTTTTGCCTCATTTTCTACTTTCCCTGTCTGGGGGTGACTTGAACTTCTTGGAGGATGTCATCTTCCTCCTAGGGGCTTGTTTTTAATATCCTGTTCAATCATGCACATGCCTCTGCCTCTCTCTGAGAGGTGCAATGCATTTCTTCTGAGTCATTAACATGATGATTCTCTGCCGCCAGCACACTTTACTGGTTTGATTTTCTGGCTTTTTAATGATTTCTCCAATTTTTAGGGTGATGTGATTAAATTGAAGCCTGGATGTTATGTGCAAGGGCAAGCCTGGCCAGTGAAAACCCAGACCACTGCAGAGGCAGGGCTTGTCAAGCCCTAGTGCCTGGGCATCTCTTTCTCTGGGGATTTTAAGCCATGCTATGTTGCAGAGTCTTTTGGCTGGATTTGCTTTCAGCTGCCTTCTTTTCTCCTTGTTGCTGGGAAGCTGATGACCTTGCTCACCTGCACAGGGCCCAAACAAGCTTTCCCTCAAACAGCCGCTGTAGGCAATGCCCTGCTAAAAAGAACATCCCTCCCAGGGTAATATTTTGCCTCTGCCCTGCAGCAGTGTGGCCTCATCATCCTATGCTTCTGCCTCCCCCTTGAGCAGCCAGGGAGCATCAGGAGGGGGAAGCTGTCAGCCTGGAGAAGCTGCAGTGCCTGAGCTCAGCAACCTCCGGGGAGACTGTTGTCTCCATGCACCAGCCGCTGGCAACCTTGCATCAAGGCAGCTCTGCCTGATCGATAAGTCATTTGTGTGATAGGGGCTTGTGCTGTAGGGGAGCAATAATGAACTCTTTGGAGGAGGGAGAAACAATATTGTTAATGTTGAAATCATCCCACACGGAAATAACAGTCAGTGGGAGGCTGGGTCTCTGGGGTGCATCTCAGTTAACCCCCTGCTGCTCACCAGGCCATTGCACATTGTTGGGACAGGAGGGCCTGTGGCTGGGACAGTGCTGGGCAGGCAGCTGCACTGGGAAGGCACCTTGCAGTCAAAATGTTCCCTTCATTCCTTGGGGAATTATTTTTTTCACCTCAGGAGATTTACTTGTGCCAACAGAAATGTATCCATCATTTCCAAATGGATTGACCTCTCCAGCTTCAGCTACCCACTCATGTTTTTTTGTTTGTTTTTCCCCAAGCTTGGAGAGCCTCTCCTTACTGCTTCTCACGTAAATCTACTGCAACGGGTGAATCTCTGATCGCATTTCAAAGAATCATTGGATGGTTTGGGTTGAAGGCACCTTAAAGCTCATCCAGTTCCAAACCCCTGCCACAGGCAGGGACCCCTTCCACTGGAGCAGCTTGCTCCAAGCCCCTGTGTCCAACCTGGCCTTGAACACTGCCAGGGATGGGGCAGCCACAGCTTCTCTGGGCACCCTGTGCCAGCGCCTCAGCACCCTCACAGGGAAGAGCTTCTGCCTAAGAGCTCAGCTCAGTCTCCCCTCGGGCAGGTTCAAGCCATTCCCCTTGGCCTGTGACTACAGACCCCTGTCACAAGCCTCTCTACAGGTTTCCTGCAGCCCCTTTAGGCACTGGAGCTGCTCTAAGGTCTCCCCTTAAGGAGCCTCTTTTCTCCAGACTAAACCATCCCAGCTCTCTCAGCTCTCCAGAGCAGAGCTGCTCCAGCCCTCGCAGCATCTCTGTGGCCTTTATTTTGAAAAAAGGGAAAAAGCTTTTGAGACTTGCCTGCAAAATAATTTCCAGGGGCTCAGGTGCTGTGAGAACCTCAGTCCTGACATGGTGGGGACTCAGCCTTGTCTGTCTTGGGGCACTGCAACGAACAGCAGTCAAATAGCTGCTCTGCCCTGCCCTCCCTTGCTTAGGACAAGGGGACAGGGCAGCGCAATGTGTCCCACCATGATGTGACGTGGCTCTTTCTGCTGACTCTGTCCACATGGGGAAAGCTGTGAGCCCAGCCTGTCCGCTGGTCCCCGGTGCTGGTGTGACGTGTGTCTGTCTTGTAGGTCCATCGGAGGGGCTGGGGTATGGTCGCACTTCACCCTGCAGGGAGGAGAAGGCCAGGGCTGCCCTGAGGCACGGCTCCAGCAGTCTAAAAAGCACGAAGACGCTCATCGCCGAGCCTGGCCCCTTTGTTGGGGAGAGGATTGACCCTGCCCTGCCCCTGGAGAGCCAGTGGTGAGTCCTGTCTGCTGTGGGCAGCTGCTCCAGGATCCTGGTGGCTGCACCATGCTGAGGCCTGGGGCAGACCTGTTTCTTTCTTTTTCCCTGGCCTCACCTTTCTGCCTGCTTGTCCGTGCTGCCCATCCCGCAGTTGTGGTGTCCCCATGTGCCCCCTGAACCCCCCTGAGCTGCCTGGTGGAATTCCTGCGCGTTGTTCCCCATCCCCAGTGGTGCCACCCACATCCCTCCTCCTAAACAGTGGCTGCTGTCCCTGGGGAGGTTCCAGCAGTGCTGAATTGTTGCTGCCCCAGGGCAGGGTCCTTCCTGGGGTGTCTGTTCTGCCTGGCACATCTGGTTCCTCTCCAACCTTCAGCTGGTACCATGGGGCCATCAGCCGGACGGATGCAGAGACTCTGCTGAGGCTGTGCAAGGAGGCCAGCTACTTGGTGCGCAACAGCGAGACCAGCAAGAATGACTTCTCCCTCTCCTTGAAGTGAGTGAGCCCAGATGAGGCTGGGGGGTGGTGGACCCACAGCAGAGGTGACTTGGTAACGTAGGTGACCCTTCATGGGTGGGTGCCCCATGCAAACGTATGCCTGTGCTGATGGGGTGACTGAGATGACCACAGCGTGGTCAGAAATGGCTGGAATACAAAGTCTGCACTTCTGTGTGGTGTGTCACAAGCTTTTGGTTTGGTGCCTGGCAAAAGTATGTCCTGGGAAGGCTTGAGGATCTGGAGGCACACTGTTCTTCCCTTGGCAATGCTAGTAATCCCTCAAACAGGTAAAATTATATGCCTCACTGCCCACTTGAATGTGTCTGGTTACAGCTTCCAGCTCTGGCTTGTCACCCATTTTTATTTTTTTTTTAGCTTATTTTCATGAGAAAAGAAAGTTTGTGTGACTGTTCATGGAGATGCAGGTGCCCATCCCTGCCTACCCAGCCCACTGAAGCTGTTGCTCAGCAGCACTGTAGAGAGGGAATTACCCTGCTCTGGTTTCCCAGCAGGAAAACCTCACCCTTCGCATTTTATACATACATATATATATACATCTATATATAGAGAGCTTGGTTTCTGCTTGTTTTTTTGGGGGGGTTCTTTGCATCCTCCCCAAGTTTTCCAGGTTCCCTGAGCACCAAGACTGCATGAACATCACCACATGTGTCCTGCTGAGGAAGAGGGGAGCTGCCCATAGCTCTTCAGCTCTTTTGTGACTTGGGGTGTGAAGTGAAAGATGATACCTGTCCTGAAGATGATGGATTATCAGATGCCTTCTTGCCCTTCTGCTGGATGACTATTTTAGCTCTTTTCCTGGCAGATGTGAAAAAAGTATTTATTGAGCACTTCAGTCATCTCTGCCCAACAACAAGCCACATACTCCTATGCTTTTCTCAATATACTTTTTCTCAGTGCTCGCTGTACCTGCATTGCTCCCTGGTGATTTCAGCCTCCTGTTTATTTCCCAGTGACACAATTGTGAATTAGATTGCTCTGCCTCTCTATCTTTTCTTCCTCTTTTATTTCTGCCTTCAGCACCAAGCCAGGGCCAAAGTTGAGCTGGGAAATATTCTTTCTTCCTTCTGCAATTCTAGCTTTTGGATCAAACAATGACTCCCTCCTTTTCTTTTTTTTTCTTTTCTTTTTTTTTTTTTTTTGGTCAGAATTTGTACTGATGTTTTAATTTTCTCAGTATTTGTTCCTTGCTATGGCTTACAAGCAATTTTGAAGCAACATTGAAGCAACAGCTTCTGCTGGCTGGCTCATATTCGAGGCTGCAAGAGGTCCTCTTGGCCATCACCTTGTGGGTGGCATAGGCCAGGATGTGTGGTGGCATTTGATTGTTCATGGGGCTTCCTCCCTCACCAGCATGAGTGTCCCTTTTCATCACCTCTCTACAAGCCGGTTACCCATTTCTTTGGGTTTTGTTCCTTCTTCTAGCCATCCTTAGCCTTGTGACAAAAAGGGCCAAATCCTGTTCTCAAACAGCATGCTTGTCTAGGGCATGGCCTTGCAGTGGCATCCCTCCTCCCCATAAGAGACTGGAGTGCATCCAGGAGCCGCTCGGGCATTACCTGTCTTATCAGCTGTGACTGCAGTGAGCCCACAGCACCAGAAACGTGATTTTTACTCCACTACCTTTCTCTATAGAGCCTGTTCAAGGAAAATCCCCTGGGATGCTTTTTATATACCTGTAAGCTGGCTGTCTGCATTTCTATTATTCTTTTTTTTTTTTTTTTTCTTCTTTTCATTGAGGAAGGAGGTGCAGCATAGGGTATGGTCTGAAAGAGAGCTCCCATGCTGACCCAAAGCCCTTTTGTGGTGCTTTAAAGGAAAATATGCACTAGAGAGAGCAGTAGGAATGCTGTACCCATAGTGTGTCAGGTTGCCGGAATGATTTAGCCCTGTCATGACACTCCTGACTGGTCCAGGCTGGGCAGCCCCACATTGCCTGTTGTGGACAGGGTAGTAATGTGAATGCCTGAAACACCTGGAGAATTAATCCCTCCTGGATCGCACCTCTGTGAGAGTGGCTGAGGCCACGCTGCAAAGGTTTGGGTCTTTTCTCATGTCTATAACGTGCTCGGCAGGAACAGCGGCTGCCTCTTATCTTCCTCCCACCCCTGCTACCGGCTCCAAGCCTGTCGGGTTTGCAGCATGCTCCCTCAGCCATGTCTCCAGGGGTCTGATCTAGGTCACATGCCTGAGCTTGTGACAAAGACTTCTGGATGAAATACAACCAGCATCACCGCTCTGTGGATCCGTGTGGTAGTGCTCTGGCTCCAGACTGGCACTGACCCAGCACCAGGCTCCTGCACCCCTCTCATTTGCCAGCACAGGCAAGGGCTGGGTCTCCCTGCAGACGGTGCAGTGCTGAGGGCAGCATCCATGGGCAGCTCCACGTGTTAGCGCTGTGACCATATGTGTGTGTGCAGGTGCACCTTTACAGGTGCCATGCATGGGACAGCCCTGCAGCTCTTCACTGCACCCTGCCACTGGGATGCAGTATGCGTCCAGCTGTTGCTTTTCCTTAGCTCCTGGCAGGGGGCTGCGACTCTGCCCTCCCGTGGGGCTGGCTCCTTGCCTCTCAGCTCTAAATGGATTGCAAACCCATTCTGCTAATGCAGCCAGGCTGTCCATTATGGGTACCGACTCCAGCCGGGGGGAAGGGACTGGCCTGCGCAGCGCTGGAGGCTGCTCAGCATTGCTGATGAGGTCCTGTCTGCTTTTAAGTCATCAATATTTTGCCTTAATGTGCATTCCAGACACTGCAGACAGGCTGTGGCTCTCCTCAGAGACGCAAATTAATAGCAACAGGGCCATTAGCCCGTCGCTTGGAATCAGTGCTCATGGCAGGATCTGACTGCACAGCCTCACATGGCTCAGTGCCCGTGCTGTGCCAGGAAATGGCCTCAGTACACTGAGTGGGTTCTATGGAGTCCTCAGTGTTGGTATTGAGGGGGATGGGGGACCAACATGCTGTGGGCCGAAGGAGAGAATCCTGTTCTGCCATGGTGAGGCTGGAGATAGGTAAGCTGAAGTCCTCCTGTGTGAGCCTTGGCAATTGCAAAAGGGGCGTTGCCACGTGTGAGGGGCAAAAGCTGCTGCCCTACGTCACCCTGCAGTGAGAGTCCCAGCTGCTCCTGCCTCCACATGCCTACCGCAGCCTCTGCACTGTTCTTGTCCTTGGATCAACCCCTCACACCCCTCTGCATGGCCGTGCTTCCTTGGGGGCAGACAGCTGTGACCTCTCTCTCATGTTGTGGGCTTTGTGGGGGGTTGGGCAAGAGCAGGATGGTATGGGCAGGGCCATGGTTGGGTTGCCTGTTTCAGGGTGGGGGAGATGTCAGGAGTTGATGGGAGGCTGGGGCCAGCTACACCCCTAACCCTGCCTTCATGTCTTCTTGCAGGAGCAGCCAGGGCTTCATGCACATGAAACTGTCCCGGACCCAAGAGAACAAGTACGTGCTGGGTCAGCACAGCCCACCCTTCGACAGCGTGCCAGAGATCATTCACCACTATGCGAGCCGCAAGCTGCCCATCAAGGGGGCTGAGCACATGTCCTTGCTCTACCCGGTGGCTATCCGTACCCTATAGTACTCACCATCCACGAACCAGGCTCCAGGCTGGGTGCATCTGAAACTGGTCTGTCTGCAGGGTCGAGCGCAGTCACACTGACCACCGGCTCTGGACCTGCAGCTCACAAGCAGCTCGCTGGGCACAGCCAACGCTGTTGGGGATTGCTGCAGCTGGACCCTGCGTCCTGCTCCCTTGGGGGGCTCTTGCGCGCTGGTTTGCCAGCTGGATTGGTGCCGGGGGGAGCCTGTGCCTGAGGAGCTGAGAGGGGCTCGCTGGCTGCCCACTGCCCTTGCCTACCTCCAGGCAGAGCTCAGGACATTAGGACTGGAGCTGGGGCCTTGGAGAGGCAAGGGAGGGGGGTTATGTATTGGAAAAGGGAGAGAAATCAACTGGTAGCAGGCATGAGGTGCCACCATGAGGGTGCTTGGCTCTACCTATGGGAGACAGAAGGTGCCAGCAGGCAAGAAGGCTGGCAGGGACAAGCCTACCAGGAATAGCAAGACATGGCAGGCTGGGCAGGCTGTCCCTTCCACCCCCCACACTGGTCTGCCCTCTCCTCCATCCTTTGCCAAATGTACACAGTGACCGCTCTCAGCTAGGCGTGCAGCACTGCTGCCTAATAAAGTGGTGCATGTGCACTTCCTGCTCCATGCATCCCACCACCCTAACTGGGGGGTCAGTGTGGCAAAACGGCGGGAAGGGGCATTTTATTATGTGAAAGCTTGAAGTGAATTGCTTTTTCCTTCACTCTTGCACAACACGGGTCTTGAAAGCCATGTGCGTGAGCGGTCCAGCCATCTGTAACACGGGGAACATGGGAAGCTAGTGGTCATGTCCTTGCTGTGTCTTCGGGACACTTTGTGGGCAGCAAAGTGGACTTGCCCATTATTCCCTGTAGAAGCGGGTGCTTTTTGGGATCTTTTTGCCTCGTTTTCCTTTACCCTTCGTGAGCCTTAGGCAAAATCCCTGAATTCACAGAGCACCTGTTCTCCTCTGGGTATTTAGTGGCCCCAGTCTTGTTCTTTGTCTTCCTGATACCTTGTCTTTGGGCTAGCTTTCTCCTTTTCTTCATTTGGCTGAAGCTATGTGTGATGCTCTGTAGCATTTAATGCATACCTTGCCTTTTAACCTTGTTCCTGGTGTTGCTCGCTGCTGTACCTACACAAGTTTCCTCCATCCGTGCTTCAGACTAAGCTCAGTCTCACTGTTGCTCCCCTGCAGTGTGTTCCCTTTCTCCTCCAGTCTGTTAGTGGTCCTGCTGTGCTCAGCAGAGAGAATGACAACAGCAAATTTGCTGCTGGACCAGCAAAACCTTTTGCATCAGTGGAGCAAAGTGATTGGGGCATTGGTAATGATGCATCAGCAGTGGCTTGAAGGCTTTGTGAAGATGCATCATCCTCCCCACTGCCTGTTCCCAGAAAAAAGCTGGTCCTGCTGAGCGGGGTGGAGGTGGTCAATGGGGCCATGGAGACCTTGCATGGGTCCCTGTTCTACATACTGTACAGGGCTCCGGGGTTTTCCAGCTCAATCTGCAGCCAGAGATCGCTGCCCTGACTGCCCAGCATGGCTTTGAGCTGCTGTGGGGACCACTGGGCACAGCCACTGTGGTCTGTGAGCGCAAAGTGCGGTTTGGAGCATGCAGAAACTGGTGATTTGTTCCAGGATACCTCAGCCTTTGCCGCTCCTTAAAAGGCATCAGTTTGAGCTCATCAGGCGCCCGGTGTCTCCTTACAGCCCTGCTTGGCTGCCTCTCTCCATCCCAGGGAGGCATCTTGTCCGGCAGGGACGGAGGCAGCACTGGAGGGTTTTTGTCCTGGCAGTACCACACCAGAGCCTGCAGAAAGGGCCAGAGATGCAGAAATCTTCAGAGATGCTCTTGGATGCCCTTGCTGCTTTTAAAGGTTTCAAGGGCTCTTAGCAGCCCTGCTGTGCCCTGATGACTCCAGCACAGATCTCATCTTGGGGGATACTCTGCCTTCTCCGTGGCTGCAGCTGGAAAAGCAGAGGCTTCTTGGGTCCATGCAGCTGGGGAACATAGGCATGTGAGAGCCTCCCCATATTCTGTTTCTTTCTCTGGAAAAACCATGGTAGTGAGCAAACTGCCTAGCAGCCAGTGCTGGTTGTATCAACGCACTCATGGCTTTACAGTGTAATCCTGTCCAAGCACTCTAGCTCCATCTCAGGGACATCCAGGGCAAGCATTAAGAGGCATGAGACTTGTGTGCGTTTCATCAGCTCTCCAGAAACAGTTATTGCTCTGGAGTTGGGCTTTATGTCCAAGTGATTCAGCTAAGCAGCTCTCAATCCTCGCTGTGGCAATTACATCCCTTTTCACCCTTCTCCAGGCTAAAGATGCACAACTCCTCAAGCATCTCCTTGTACAGCACCACATTGTACAGCGCTGACTATCCTAGTGGCCCTCTGCAGGACTCTCTTATTGTATTTGGGGTCCAGAACTGGACACAGTATCCAGATGTGACCTCACAAGTGCCAAATAAAGGGAAATAACCACTTCCTTTGACCTGGTTACGCTCATATAACTTGGGCTGGAAGGGACCTTAGGAAGTCTCTAGTCTAACACTGCAAGCAGTATTAGTGTTGAGTGTCAAGGGGGTATTTTTTGAGAAGCAGAACTACCCTAAGCCTAGCTAGGGTATTTCCCCTCTTCATAGCATTACCAGGGGAGACTGGACACCAGGGATAGAGGGCTGCAAATTCACTGCAACCTGAGGGCAATGCCTCCAGCCCAGTGGAGCCTCCAGCTCCATGAGGGCCCTCATGTGATGGGGGAGGTCCAACAAGAAAGATGTAGGAGCAAGGTACAGGATGCAGAGCCATAGCAAAGAGCCAGCCCTGACACTGGCTCAGGGGATGGACCTTATGGGGCATATCCAAGCAGGTCATGTGTCCTGTTTGCATCCAGGAGGTGTCATTTTGAGTTTTCCACATAAAAGTATATGACTCTGGGTCTGGCTGGGTCATCTTCTGTTTGCAATGGGAATTAATCAGGAGCTCCCCAGAAAATTTGAATTGAATCTCTCCTGCAAGGGTATTTTAGTGCTACATTTGCCATCCCAAAACTGGGTGATGTTTATGAATGGGGTGGTTGGGGGCAGCCATGTGACAGGGCTAGAGAGGTGATGAGTGGGATCCCCATTCACGAGGATGTTAATCCCCAGAGCAACCCGATGCAGTTTAGATGTTAATCCTTCTGGGAACATGAAAAGAACCAGAGACCTTTGTCTGTAGCAATTCCCAATCCACTTGTCCTAGAAATCCCCCATGTCCCCCCAGCTGCCTCTGTTCCCTGTCCCTCCTCCCTGCAAGCAAAAGAGCTCTGCCATTCATCAGTTGATCTCTAATCCCTTGCTAAACCTTCCACAATTAACAACTGTTTTAGTATTCTGCAGGCCCTGGTGATGAAGGAAGGAAGTTTGTTTCATAATTGGATTAGCACTGCTGGGAGCATGCTCTCGTATGGCGGTGAAGTCTGGGCTGGCATGGCCCCTTAGCCCTGTGCTGCTTTGCCTTGTGGGCCAGCTTGGGGGTCTGCTTACTCCTGCACAGAACTTCACTGGCCAAAAGATGCAGTCTTGCCAGAAGGCAACCAAGAGGGGTGAAAGGCTGATTCAGGGCAGATTTTGAGCTTACCCTCCTTGGAAGCTGGGATGTGTTTGCTGAAACTCTGTCCCTCATGTCTTTCACCTTCTGGAAATGAAGCACTTTGCTTAGCATCATCAGCCTCATCACCCACCCTAGCACAAGCCATCAAGTCTCCTGAGCACCATGTAGGCTGGAGAGCATCACCAGTAACTGATCCTTGTGAGACTGGGTAAAACCCTCAGATCCATGCGCCCTTACTGCCTCTCTGCCTTGGAAGCTCCCTTGAGCCCATGCCTAGTAATTAGTTTAAAACCCCAGCCCTGGCAGTGATGCCTAAGTTGCTTGTATATCACTGAAAACAGAGTGCCCTCTAGTCTGTCTCCAACCACAGCAATCTGCAGAAGGATTAAATAACCCAACAGTTCAGTTGCTGAAGTTTATAGCAAAGGAGAGAAATTTGTTCCTGATCCCTGCAGGCTACCAGCAAAATGTGCAGTGCATCACATACAGAGCACACACGTGCTTGTGGCACACACACGGACCAACTGGATGCCTCCTTTCAGATCTTGCAAAGAGCAGTATGTTTGACAGAAGGGCCAAGTTTCAGTCCTTAACTCAGTGAACCACCCCAGCTCAGTCCTTTTTGTATGCTTCTGCAGCATCGTCTTAAGCCAGTTACTTACTTGTGTTACCCTGTTTGAAAATTGTCCCAAAACATCCATGCCTCCACCAGATTTTCAGTCTACACTTGCGAGCAGTTCTCTCCTTTTCCTTGCACAATTTTGCAGGCATGTCTCCAGAACAGCGTGCTTGGGCAGATCTTCTGGGTGAGATCTTCCGGGTGAGATCTTCCCAGTGCTTTCGTAGTAATGTGTCTGTTTCCCTCCTGAAAATGCATCTCAGGCATGACAACTCCACGCTCCCAGCCCTGCACTGCTTGCTATTAACATCAGTGGGGTCATCCCAAGACTAGGGTGGAGGAGCCATGCTAGAGAGAGCAGAGAGACACCCTTTTTAACACAACCCATAATTTGATTGATTAGCTGGTTCCTCCTCTGCTATATCCATACCTCTGACTTCCAGCATTGGAGACTGTTTGTATTGGGTTAGGGTTAGGGTTAGGTACAAATAAAACTTTTTCCTAAAATCTAACCAGCCTAAATACACTGCATCACCTTGTCTAAGTTAATTATCAAAGTAAAATCATTATGTTACACTGAGACTAGGTATCTGTGATAAATTCTGTTTCCAGTTCCCCTCATATCTTGAAGTTGGGTCTCCTTCAAAACACCCTTTTAAAGGTATGAATGTCTAGATATGTTTTAATATCTCTTTTCACTTTCTTGGATGTGGAAGGCACATTTGCTGCATTTGCTTGCTATTTGAGCCATATCTGGGTTATCGTAAGCCTTGTCCTTTCACAGTGAGGTGACCTTGGTCCTTTTCTCTCCAATCTCCTGCAGCACCTCCTGGTTGACCCTCATCTCATGCATTCAAAGTATGTCCTTACTGGTGGTTGTGCCTCAGGCATTCTCTGTCCTTCACATCTTACTCAGCTTGGTGACCTGCACAGCTACAAGTCTTTCTCTTAATTTCCAGGATAAATGTATGCATGCTGAATTGTTCTCCATTAAATGGCAGTGCACTTCAAGTCCTTATCTTTGCCTGTGTGGAATCAGTGGGCTCCCTGCACATGTCCTCTCTCACTGCTCCTGTACAGGGTAGACTTGCTGCACATGTACACTGCACTGTGATTTACTGCCCCTATGCAGCATTACAGCCTATCTCTGCGTGCACAGTGTCCTGACCTACTGCTCTCATTAAGGCTTACCTCTGCAAATTCGCAGCATGTCTGGTTTTAGTGTGTTCTCTCTGACCACGCACAGCATGTCCTGACTATCAGGGAAGGCTCTTGTATCTCTTTGTCCCTGTCTAGATGCCTTAAGTCATTATTCATACATGCCACTGCCCCTCTCCAAGGGGAATAGTCTGCCTGATTTGCCTCTTGGATTTACTGTGTGTGCAGTGGGTGGGCACTCCATGTGGCACAGTGTAATTTCCATGTGTTTGTGGCATCCTAATTTTGGTTCACGTATTAGCTTCTTTCCCACACAGGTGCCTTGCAGCCTGTGGACAGGCGCATACTTTCTGCATGTGTGCAAGACACCAGCATCATGTCCTGACATCAGAGCAACTCCCAACTCTAGCTGGCAATGTGTGGTAAAGATTGCAGGCTCTGTGCTGCACTCAATTCCCTTCTCCTTCCACATGCACAGGATGTCAGAGCCTCCTCTGCCCCCATCTGCTCAGTGATTCTTGTAACCATGTCTTACAGGGGCTGAGGTGCAGCCTGGCACCTCCATCCTGCGCTATCCTGGATCATGTCCCACTCTGGAAACTGTCGGCTGTGTGGTAACCAGGTGTCCTGCCAGAGGTAATGGAGAGGGTCTCTAGTGGGCAGCAAGATGCAGTGTCTGGCTGAATGTCATTTAAGCCAGAGCCCCAAGTGTACCTCCTGTTGCTGAAGTCTTCTTAGGGCACATTTATGGGATGCCAATGACTTTTTTCATTGACCTGTTTGCTTGAGAGACCAAAAGGGGAAAACTGAGCCCCCATAAATGCTTCAGAGGGTAGTCCAGAGAATGGTGTTGTTGCTCCAAGTTGCAGAATGTGCCCACCCAGGCATCAAGAAAGTGAGGAAGTTGTGACTCACAGCCATGGCCTGTGTTGGCCTGTGAAGGAAGCATGGGAGAGGCAGTCTTCCATTCCTTGCCCTGGGAACATCTATAGCCATGTTTGTAATGCTGGTGACCAGAGAGCTGCCAGCTGGAGCTAGCTGGGGCTGGAAGAAGGAAGTACAAGCTGAGACAGCTTCAGTTTCTTGTAAGGAAGGTAATTCCTAGTTTGTTTTTTTTTCTTTTTTTTTTGGTTGGTTGGTAGGTTGGTTTGGTTGGTATTTTCGTGTGTGTGTGGTGGACTTTTGTTGTTGTTGTTGTTTTGTTTATTTGTTGGTTTGGGTTTTTATTGTTTGTTTGTTTGTTTCCCCGGAGGGGCTGAGCTAAAAACCATCTTGCTTTTTTCTGCTGTGAATTGTAGCCGAACTCCCAGATGCCACAGGCTGGGGGAAGCAGTGTAGGTGGTACCAGGAAGGGCTGGAGAGTGCATTGCCTACCTGGTGAGAGCTCTTGCCCTTGAGTTTGAATTCCAGCCAGTCCTGAAGGAAGCAGCACATCATATACCAGAGCAAGCAAGAGAGGAAACACAGAGATGTTGTTCGGTCCCCTGTGCATCACAGACCCCACACTGCCCCACTCAGCTGACAGTCCCAATGAAAATTCATCATTCAGGGTAACCTCAGGCTTTGTGGCTCTGGCATTGTCAGCCCTACAGGCAGCATGGTAATTCACACTGGTAGCAGCTGTTCCCCGTGTCAGCATTGGGCAATTGCCCCTCCTGGTCTGTTCCTGCTACGGGCCATTAGCAGCAAGATCCTTCTTTTATCATCATACTTCTCATTCTGTCTTGGCAGCTGCAGTAAATGTCTGTCTGTTATCAATTATGAATGCCTGTCAGGACACAAGGTTGGGTTTCCCTGTAGCAGGCGATGATTTTGACACATTCATGGGTTGCTCAGGTCTGGAGCGGGATCATCTGTTTTGAAGCAGGGATGGGACAGGGTCTCTCATGGTGTCACTGGGGGTTTGCATCCTTGCATCATGACCACCCTGCTGTGCTACCTATTCAGAAGCGCAGCAGGTCTGTGGTCTCTGTGCTGGGACTGGAGGAGTGGGGACAGGTGATCCCTCCCTGATGGCAGAGGTGTTGCTCATTTCCATTTAGATAGAGGAATTTCAATCCTAGCTTGCTGTCTGCTCACCGTGGTGAGACTCAAGACACACATTTCCAGTTTTCTTCACACAATGCCATATGCTCTCTGCTGCTGGCTTGGGAACTGAAGCACATTAGAGGTGCTGCAGCCTGGAAGAGATGGATAGTTGAGTGCATGAACATGGATGATTACCTGTGTGTAGGTCCATGAAGGTCAGCTCCCAGCTCCTATATGGCTTCTCTGTATCTAAATCTGCTGCACAAAGTGCTCCCACTGCCTCTCACTAGCTCCCTTCCCTGTCCTCAGACAGATTAACACCAGCATCCAGAGTTGGCCCCCATGATATATAATCCAGATCACTTGGGGGCAGAGGATTGTCACACAAGAAGTCACACAGATAACCACAGTGATGAGGACAACCAGCTGCTTGTCTTTCAATGGGAAAAATGGAAGAAGAAATAACAGCAAGGGGGAAAGGGTATCCTTGCTTGCCACGTACATTGAGTGCATGTTCAAGTGCCCACAGACAGGTGATGTAGGGAAGCTCATGATCCTCTGTGTAGTCTTCTCCACCATGTACTTGGCGTGTCTGCTCCTGTAGGAATAAAACAGCAGTTTCACTCAGCTACAAATGCAACAGCCTGTAGAAAAGAAGGTGGAGCAGGTTGATGGTGGGGGAGCCACAACCTCAGCCTTGTAGGGAATGCCCAGAGACTCCAGTTTGAAGGTTCAGGGCAGATGTCTGCTTTGAGAAAGGAGGTTGGCTTAACTTAACGGTGGGGTAGGGGAGGCTACCAAGGAGCCCCTTCCAGTGAGCAAGGGCATGTATGCTTGGAGGAGGGACACACAGGCAGTAGTGCAGCCCACAGTGAATTTGAAAGGTGGCCTGGGGAAGATGCCAAGAAGGGTCAAGTGCAAGGTCCTGCACCTGAATCAGGGCATTGCCAAGCACAAACACAGGCTGGGCACAGACTAGATGGAGCAGCCCTGAGGAGAAGGACTTGGGGATGCTGGGTGAAGAGAAGCTCCCCATGACCTGGACTCAGTATGCACTTGAGCCCAGAACCCCCCTGTGTGATGGGCTGTACATGGGAGCAGCAGAGCTGTTCCTCCCTCGATCTGCTGCTCAAGGCCCAGAGCCTTGTGGGAGGAGATTTTCCCCCTCTGCTGTGCTCTGGGGAGACCCCCCTGCAGCCCTGATCCAGCTCTGGGGCAGCAGCACAAGAGGGACCTGGAGCTGTTGGAGCGAGGCCAGAGGAGGCCATGGAGATGCTGCGAGGGCTGGAGCAGCTCTGCTCTGGAGCCAGGCTGAGAGAGCTGGGCTGGGGCAGCCTGGAGAAGAGAAGGCTCCTGAAGGAGCAGCTCCAGTGCCTAAAGGGGCTGCAGGAAACCTGGAGAGGGGCTTGGGACAAGGGCCTGTAGGGACAGGACAAGGGGAATGGCTTGAACCTGCCCGAGGGGAGACTGAGCTGAGCTCTTAGGCAGAAGCTCTTCCCTGTGAGGGTGCTGAGGCGCTGGCACAGGGTGCCCAGAGAAGCTGTGGCTGCCCCATCCCTGGCAGTGCTCAAGGCCAGGTTGGACACAGGGGCTTGGAGCAAGCTGCTCCAGTGGAAGGGGTCCCTGCCCGTGGCAGGGGTTGGAGCTGGGGGAGCTTCAACCCAAACCGTTCTGTGATTCTGCTTCTGTGAAATCACCATGAGCGCTGTTCTACTGGCCTGGGGTGCCGGCAGCTGTCGGGGGGAGGGAGCAAAGGAGGCCGCCCTGGGGAGAGCGGGAGGATGAAGGCGCCCCGGACGCCGCCAAGCACCCCCGGCTGCGGCCGGAGCGCTGCTGCCACCTGCCGGGCGCTGGCGGGAGTCGCAGGGCCGGGCCGCGCCGGGCTCGGGCCTAGCAGCCGGCGGACGCTCGCGGTGAGGCCGCGCTGGGCGGGGCCGGCGAGAGGCGCCGCCGCGTTGGAGGCGGTGTGGGGGTATGGCGGCGGTGTCAGCGACAGCCATGGCGGAGGCCCGGCTGCGGCGGAAGCAGTTGTTGAGCGCGGAGGAGGCGGAGTTGTTCGAGCTAGCGCAGGCGGCGGGGAGCGGGCTGGATCCGGAGGTGTTCCGGTGAGCGGAGGAGCGGCCGCCGGTGCTCTCGCTGGCCGCTGTCTCCGCTGACCTTTGTCCCGCTGGCCGCTGTCCCCTTAGGGTGCTGCTGGACCTGCTGCGCATGAACGTGGCGCCGCTCGCGGTCTTTCAAGTGCTGAAGTCCATGTGCGCCGGGCAGCGGCTGCCACCGGGACCCGAGAGCGGCCCTCCAGCCACGCCAGCCCTGCTCCCCGCCGACACGCGAGGTAGGCAGCGGGCAGGGCCGGGGGGCGGGCTGTGGGCCAGCGGCGGGCCCTGACCCCATGTCTCCTTGCGCAGAGCCCCCAGAGGACGGCCGGCCCCCCTCTGCTCTGCGGCCGCCGCGGGCCGGGGTCGGTCCGCCCCTCTCCCGTGGCCCCCCACCGCCTGCTCACTGTCCGGCGGTCTCCCCTGGACTCCCGCCGGCCGCGCCGCCCGTCTCGCCACGGGGACAGGTCAGGGGCCCGCGCGGCCCCCGTGGTCCCCGTTCGATGTGAGCTGCGGGGCCGGGCCTGGCGGGGGCCTTGCGCGCACTCTTTAGTCTCAATTCCTGTTTGTTTTGTAGCAGCACAGGGGCCGGGTGTGGAGGAGCTGTACGGCGTGGCCGGGGAGAGGTTGCTGCGGTCGCTTGTGCTGGGTTTTGTAGCTTCCTGCCTAGGCCTCCGTGACTTTAGCAGCGGCAAAAAAACCAAACCACCCCTTAGTGCACAGTGTTATACAATGCTGCTTTGTTTGTATCTAATGCAGAAAAAAAGAAAAAAAAAAAATCAAAAGCCACCAAATCAAAAAGGAGGAGTTTCTGGTACATTAGGAATCCTCGGAAAATGAGAGGAGCAGTGATGCTTCCTCTGCTCCATCCCCATATAGCACAGTGTCTTGTGCAGCTTGTCCAGAGGTTTCTTTTGGTATGTGAAATGGGCAGCTCTGTGGGGATTGTTGGCTGAAATAGCCAACAGGAAGGAAAGAGCTGATTTAGAAGAGAAGGTTGAGGCATTTAGGCGTGAGGAGGAAGTGTGTATACCCATTGGGATGGTGGCATTGTTTTTGTCCTAGCCCAAGTATCTTCCATAAAGTTACATCCCAAAGCTTTGCACCAACTTATTTATTGTGCTAAAAGTGTTATTTAGCTTTTCAAAGTTCTGTCTCCATTGTGGGCCTCTCACCTGGTCTATGGATTTTAAGGCTGTGAGGAACCATTGCAGCTTCCTGTTCTGCATAGCAGGGGTCAGAATGCTTTCCTACCCTGAGAAACGCTGTGTTGCATTTAGGTGCCTCTTGGAAAAGCCACTGAGCCTGGGGGAGTCATGGGCTCAGGGAAGAGTTTGCAGGGTGTGTTTTCTTGTCTGTGTAAGAATATGCTTTTGAGAATCACAAGTCCTCCTGTGCCCCTGGATTTGTAACGACTTTCTTCCTGTGTAGATACTTAGGTATGAACAAGGTCTTTTCTAAGTGCTGTTGTGCAGTTATTTTCTAAATGTCCCTCTGACTACTATGCAGCTTGTTGCCAACTTTGTCCTCTTTGTGTGTTCCTTTTGCCATCCTTGTTTTTGTAGTCTTCTCTATTCACCCTCTTCTTACTGCTTATTTCTTGCACTTTCTCTGTGTTGTCCATCTTTAGCTGTGGTCAGACTTCTGGGATGATAACTATTGCTGTATGGGCCCGCAGTGTCTGCCATCAGTCTTGGATACTGCTTGCTTGCCATGCATTCCTCTGCTTTGCATTCCTGTGGTACTCACCTTCCACTTACCCAGCCTCACTTTGTCTCAGGAGATAACACTGTCCTAAGTGTGGTGGTGAAAAGTAGTAAAATGAGGAGCAACCAGAAAGATGTGAGGATTTGTAGGGGAATGGCCAGTGCATGTCATCTTGATCAGTGGATGAGAGAGGAGCTCCTGTGGCTCTGCTGAGCATCCTTGAAGGGAGCCATCACTCAAAAGAGCAGGAGAGGTGAACAAAAACCTTGTCTTCAGGAGACCAGACACATCATAGGTGGCTAAGTTGGCAGCCTCCCGAAGTAACACAGGTATTAGAGTAAAAAGAGAATCCGTCCATCGTGTAGATGAGAATGAAGTATTATTTCAGAGAATTGACTTCAAAATGACTGTCAGATTGATAAGACTAATACAGACCTCTGCTCTGGAAGGAGGGAATTGTTTTGTATATTAAACCACCTTCAGTCATCTTGTTCAGAGGATTGTTACCTGGTGGATGAAACTGAGATATTTGAGCACCTAAGGAGTCTCATCAGTATCTTGAATAGGATGTGGGACTTCTGTAGTGATACCTAGTAAAACTGTTGAATATCAAACCTGTTTGGAAGAAACAGGCTTGCTGGAGAAGAGTCTTAAGTTCTGTGCAGGTGATTTGTGGGCCTGTGTAGGTCCCTGTTTACTTTGTATTCTCTTTCTCTGAATCCTCTTCAGAAACCACCTTTTTCTTCTTTTATTTTTTTTTTTCCTTTTCCCTCCTCTTCCCCTGTTTCATAAAAAAATCAGCAGGATTTCTTGAGATATTTTGCCAGTCTCACCTGCTCATCTATAGTACTTGAATTGCACAGTTTATGGATGTTCAGCTGCTTTTGTGCTTTGTGTTAATTGGATCTGTTATCTCTGATAGCGTTTTAACTGGTAGAATTGTACAAACCATGCCTGTCCTCATGCACTTCATGATCTCTTCTTGATTGGTTCATGGGTCATACTTCCAAAACCAGAGTTGATTTTTATGCTATTGAAGTAACTGTTTTGTTTTACTGTGATTTTGAGGCTAAGAGGATGGATGGCATGTGCTTTGTCTGAGCACAGCTTCTGCTCAGTAAAGTGATTCTTTCTCCCCAGCTTGTTTCAGCTAGATCAGAAGACCAAGGGTCTGACTGCTAGTAGTCCTTAATGGTGCAGTTGTTTTCTGTGTGCAGGTGGTTAGAGTTGTACACAGTCTGAGGACCTGTACTCTTACTGGGTAAATGCATGTGAGAAAAGGGAGGGCATTCACCTGTGGAGATGTCCTGGGTTGCTAAAAGCATCGTGGTGAACTATAATGCTATTTTGTTTTCCTGCTTGTTTTTCTCTTGCATACCGTGAGATAATGTATTGCCTTTGTGCAGTTTGTGCTCATGGGCAATACTTGCATTAGTGAAACTGCTTGAAGTGCTTGAGCTGCAAAGAAACATTGCAAGTCTGGTTGGCTGGCTTGGGGTAATAACTGCTGGCAGATCAAAGTGTGGCTTTCAAAAAGGGACTTTTTTAAGAGCACATGACTTGGCTGGGGTAAGTGGACGTATTTTGCTACCATCGTCTGTCAAATTTTACAGATATGAAGTGGCCATGTACTCTTACTTGGAAATTCTTGGGTTGTCTTTCTGGTGCTGCAAGGTATTGTGTTACTGATGTGGGTCCTGTTCTCAGACAGCTGCTCCAAGGAGACAGGATGGTTTGGGAAGTAAAACAGACACAGCTCCATGCTGGTGCTGTCCGTAGCACAGATGATCCAAGATGATGATTTTCAAACCATGCCTGTGGAGACTTCAGTGTGTGGAGTAGCTGTTGGTATTCTGGAAGTTGCTCTGATAACGATTGCTAAAATGTCACTCTTCATTTAATTGCATGCATGTAACTACAGCTCACTGTATTCTTGTGCTTTGTTTCCTTCTTGCTGTTAGTAATTTTTCATGATGCTTCTTGGAGCTTCCTACCCTTACTAAAAGCTGTGACCATTTTGCCTCATGTTCCTTTTATTTTTACTGTCTTTCTTAATGAGAGTCCTATTTCTCATCTGAAGTAGTTCTGTCCAATGCCAGGAAAAGTCAGTCTTCCTCACTTATCCCTTCCTGTCATTTGTTTGAAGCATACCATAGTCTGTTTCTCTTTCCTCTAGCTGAATCGAGCAGGGTGAGCTACATGCTCCTTGCCTCCTTCATCTTCCACCTTTCTACCCATTGCTTCTCTCTGCTGTCACATTGTATTTTAGGGATAGTCATTTGTGCCTACAAAAGGATAATTCTTATCTTCTGAACACAGTAAGAAAATTTCTAAGCCCTGTGTAAGAGTCTGAGCTCCTGGAAACCCCAGAAAATTATAAGGAATCCATACTTGCCCATGAGGTTACAGCATGACATGAAGAGGAGGGGTTCTGATCCAGTAATGTGCCTGCAGGCCTCAGAAACTGGTGGACACTGACTCATCAGTTTACTTGACCCCAGTCCTGAGGTGTTAGATACTCTTCATGTTCTTCCTGATGTGCTGTTTGCGGTTCTGGTGTTCCTACATCAAATGAAAGCAAGGTTTTAAAAAATGAAGTAGCTGGTTATTTTGCAGTTTAAACCTGATGAAAATTAAGTATGCTTCTACTGCAACTTACTTTGGTTTTGTGACCCTGATACCTCTGAGCTGAATTCACAAATTCAGCTTCTGTGCTTGATATTGGATACATTTGCGACATCTAATACAATTTTGCCTTGTGCATGACTTCTGAAGGCATGTGGTCTGGGTGACATGTAGGATTGGGGCTTGAAAATTAATGTATGTGTTTGTTTATTCAGGGAGAAATAAAAGCAATTCTGCTGTCAGTGGGACCCAGGTTCTAGCAGAAAGAAGTAGCCGGGAAGGATCTGCCCAGAGGATGCCTCGGCAACCCAGTGCAAGCCGGCTGCAGAAGACAGGAGCTTCTGGAAAGAACACTGGAGGAGGCAACAGTACCTAAATAAGGCCTTGAAATTGATGTATTTTGATGCTTGGCAATGTATATAAACCATTTGGTAAAACTGCTTGTTTTGTGTATGTTAACCTGACAAATGTGGTTTGTAATGTATGGAAGGGAGCTGTTGTTTCTTATTTCCAAAACTTCTTTTGGCAATGCAGACTGCTAGGTATTGACTGAAGGCACATGGGACAAATAGCCTGAAGGAGTGCTCAAGTTGCTCCAGAGAAGTCATGACTCATTCTCTAAGCCAGTACTTCTTGCTGCCTCTTCTCTAAAATCCATTTTGATATGTTGGCGCTGTTGTAGCAGCAGAAAGTCTGGTTGGCTGCATTACGAGGTGAGTAGTGCTGAGGTAGATCGTATGTTAGTGTCACTGAGCCCTGCAGTGATGATAGTTTGTGCTGGAAACTTGACTCTGGTGGTGGTGTGTTCTTGTACTTAAGCTGGTTTGCCCTGTTCTTCTGTGTGCATGCTTACTTGGGGTTTAGCTCCTTAATCCAAAAACCAGTTTGACCTATCACACAGCATAATTGCACAACATTCCAGTGATGCTAGTGTGATTATTAACTTATAAAGTATTACAAAACCCTTTGCCTAATGGGACAGGTTAAATCAGGAGATTATGCTGGATAAGGGAGAGAATAGTTTCATCGCTCAGCGTAAGGTACATGTAAGTAACTAAAGCAGGTTAAGTGGATTTGTTAGAGCTTTAGTGTTGCTGATCACTGTTGCATACGCAGGCAGTGGAGTTGTCTGCTATGGCCTTGGTTAGCTCAGAGGAGTTGCTAGTGACATCCATTTTGCTAATTAGGAGCAAGAGCCTCCATTTTTTGTGAGGGATAGATGGTGTTACCTAAACTCAAGGAGATCTTACTAACCTGATTGAACTTGTGCTAAAATTTCTTCCTGACCAAAGGAAAAAAAATGCTGGAGACTACAATACTCTTTTGCACAAGTTTTTGTGCACAGTATTAATGATGCTCAGATAATCCTACTTTATAGATTTCTCTTGCAGATTAGTCTGCTTTTTTCCACCCTCTCTGACTAGGCCTGAGGCTGTTGTTAAGGAAGATGGTTGTGTTCACAGCACATGGCAGTCAGGAGAGACTTGCCCCTGTGTGTGCTCTCCCTGAACTTCAGTTCCTTCCAGGAATACCTTCTTGCTCTGGCAGGGGCCCCTCTGGATATCTCCTACAGTTTCACTTCCATGGGCTGCAGGGAAATCTGGTGGCAGCATATCATGCCACTCCTGCTCTGCTCTTAAGCGTTAGCAGGATTGTGTCTTCCATATTTCTTTTTCTCACTCTGGGCAGCATTTTGTTCTTTCTTAAATACGTTTTTACAGAGGTGCAACTTTTGTAAAGAAAGCCACCTTGGTTGCTCAGCCAAGGCCACCCGTGCAGCATCCCAGCTTTGCCATGTAAATCCAATACATCCATCTGTGGAGATCAGAATTTTACAAGGGTATGGGTATCTCCTGCTTTGATGTTGTAAGAGAATGTATCTACTCCCCCCAAAACAACCTCCAAAGCTCTGCTGGGAAGCTGTAAGTTGAATTTGCTGGTGAAAAAGAGCAGCTGAAGGGATGGTTTTTTTTCCTGAGAACAGTCGTTGATGCTTTTATCCCTAGAACAGGTGTGAGCAGACTTGAGATGTGACTGAAACCTCAATGCAGTATATTGACCTTTTTGGGAATAAGTACCTACCAGACATGTTTTTACCGGAATGTTCACTGCCTCCTCTCTCTTTAACTAGTTCCATACCTGTATTTCTTTTATTTATGCCTCTTCAGCCTGGGACACCTCCTACGGTATAGCTACCCCTCTGTATCCAAGCTTCCACCACATCCTCCTGAGCTCTACTGCCTGCTGCTTTTTTCCTGATGTCCAGTTTTCCTGGCAGGCTGTCCTGGTCTCCTTTCTCAGCTACCTAGCTGAGTACAAATGCTTAGTGCATGCTTTTGTATCTGCAGCAGTTGAGGCACCCTGGAGCTGGTGTTGCTTTGGAGCACCTTGATCTAAGGGGTTCTTCATTGTGCCCAGCATGTCTGCTTTCTGTGTGCAGTAGCTGCCTTGGTGGATGATGTGAGAACAGCAGGAATAACTTCCTTTGACTTATGCTTTTCAGTGTGGTCTGGTATGACCCTGCAGCCTCACTGAGGAGATGTGCCTGTATGGGTGGACTATAGGATGAATGGCAAGTTGGCTGAGCTGCAGCTGAGTTGAGAGTGCAGATAGCTGACACACAAGGGTGCAAAGAAGGGGGCCTCATCTTGCTTCAGACCAACCTAAGTCTTCTCAGGTGTGGTGGTGGCAGAGCACAGGGTGTGTTCTCAAGCAGGTGTTGGAGCAGCTGTCACTGCCAGGGCAGAGGCTTCAGCACAGGTTTTGGATGGTGGATGAAACCCTACCAGTCCCAGGCTGTGCGTGGGAGTGCCTGAGGCCTCCCCCTGAGGCTGGCAGAGGTGTGGTGGTGGTTGTATTTGAGACTTGTATTGCTATGTGGAGCAGTTACAGGAGGAAGTCAGCAGGGTAAGCAATGTCAGGGAGCAACAGAAAGACGGTATCTTCTTAGACCCTGCGCTTCAAGATCCGTAGACCTCAGCTGTAGTGGGGTGTCAGGCAGAGTCTGTAGCAGATTGTAAGTTGAAACTAAAGGGAAGGCAAGGGCTGGAAGCTGGTGACTTCTGCTGCCTGAAGGCTTGCAGCAGTGGAACAGGTTCACTGTCTTCAAAGCTGAGGAGGAGGTGGGTATGCTTTCAGATGAGTTGTCTGGGCAGACCAGCTGAAACCATGAAAGGAGGAAGCAGCAAGCAATAGTTGTGGATGAGCCCCTGCTGCAGGGTATGACTTGACTTGTCAGGAGAAGTGTGCTACCTGCTATTGGGCCAGACCTGGGGTGCTGTGGGGACAAGTTAGTGAAGCTGCCTACAGACAGTTGAAAGCAGTCTCACTGGAAGCATGACCCTGGTCCTCATGGGGAGAGTTTAACCACCTTGATATATGCTGGTAGTACAACACAGAAGGGCATAAGCAATCCAGGAGGTTCCTGGAGAGCATCAATTACAGCTTCCTTCTCCAAGCGATACAGCAGTTAATGAGGAGAGGTGCTTTTCTGGATCTCATACTTGCCAGCAAGGAAGGGCTCGTCAGGGATGTGAAGGCCAAATGTAGCCTTGGCTGCAGTGACCATGAGATGGTGTTCAGGGTCCAGAGGGGAGGTAGCTGGGCAAAAGTCAAGATCACAGTGCTGGACTTCAGGAGAGCACGCTTTGTCCTCTTTAGCTATCTGCTTGATGCAGTCCAATGGGATAAGGCTTTGGGAAGGAGGCCCAAGAAAGGAGGCTGATACTCAAGGGTCACTGTCATGCTAGAGAACAGTCCATCCTGATACCCCAGAGCTGCTTCCCATGCCTGAGCTCCAGCTGCATCCCTGACAACGCCTCTTAAAGCCACATCCCCATGTCTGGCCCCTCTCACAACCTCATGTTTGTTTCCTCCAGGTCCTGCAGAGCTGAAGATGCTCCTGTGGAGTTGCAGTGAGCTGCAGTAGCTGGGGCCTGGCTGAATGCAGCCCCCTGTGGCAGGAGAAATCCACCATGGCACTTCAGCCTCAGTGTCCTGGGCTAACAGGGTACAAGGTAATTCCAGTGCTGACGGCTGTGGGTTTCCTGAGGTTGTTGCAAGGGGCACTCTAGAACAGGATGGGATGTGGGCTGGCACAGAGAGGTGAAAGAGCCCAGGGCTGATAGGGACAGGTGCTAACGCTGGTCTTTCCTGTCTGGTTTCCTGGAATTGCTGCAGTGGCAGGAGACAGAGTGATCAGAAATAAGTGGTGTGTTGGGGACGGCACACTGTTCCTATTGGAAAGGTCTCTGTGGGGTGGCTCTTACAGGGCATCCTCCAATGGGTGCATAATTTGGAGCTGGTGGATGCAGGCTTCCCCATCGGAGCATCCACCAGGGCTGGCAAGCAGGGAACCCCTCCACCCCCTGCCATGAGACAACCTTAAGTTTTGTAATTAAAAGCTCATCTCCATGAACACAGAGAAGCAGAAGAATGGTGGGTGAAGGAACCCAGGGAACTGCCACAGTGCCAAGGATTGTCTGACCCAGCTGCTCCTTGGGCTGTCCATGTGTCCAGAGGTGGCACCACTCATAGTCAAGTGGGGCAGCTCTCCAGATCATCTCTTGGACTTTGGGGCTGACTGCCTAGGGGTGAGTGACACAGTATGGGATGCAGGGGAACAGCATTTACAGCTCACATGACTGGAATGTGGTCATGGATGGCTATGTCCTTTTTAGGAAAGATAGGTCAGCAAAGCGAGGTGGTGGAGTTGCTCTTTATGTGACAGAGCAAGTAAGATTGTATTGAGTTCTGTCCGGGGCCAGATGAGGAGCAAGTGGAATGTCTGTGGGTACGAATTAAGGGACAGACTGGTATGGGTGATACAGTTGTGGGGGTCTATTATAGATCTCCTGATCAGGATGAAGGAGTTGGTGAGGCTTTCTACAGGCAACTGGAAGTAGCCTCGCGACTACGTGCCTTAGTCCTCATGGGGGATTTTAACTATCCCGATATTTGCAGGAAGACTCAACACAGCCAATCATTCACAGTCTAGGAGGTTCCTCCAGTGCATTGATGATAACTTCTTAATGCAAATGGTGGACAAACCAACTAGGAGAGGAGCACTGCTAGATTTAGTACTCACCAGCAAGGAGGGTTTGGTTGAAGGGGTGGTGGTCAATGGCAGCCTTGGCTGCAGTGACCATGGGATGGTGGAGTTTAGGATCCTGTGTGGGAGGAATAGAATACCTAGCAAGGCCACAGTTCTAGATTTCTGAAGGGCCAACTTTGGCCTCTTCAATCAACTGCTAAGAGAAGTCTCATGGGAAAGGGTACTAGGCGGTAAAGGGGCTCAAGATAGTTGGTCAGCATTCAAGGACCGCTTCTTCCAAGCTCAGGATCTGAGCGTCCCAATGGTCAGGAAATCGAGTAAGGGAGCTGGGAGACCAGCGTGGTTAACCAAGGAGCTGCTGGGCAAACTCAAGTGGAAAAGGAGAATC